CACAGGGCAGGAGGCAAATGGCCGCCTGGGGGCAGGAGGAAAATGACCGCCTGACTATTCATAGGGTAGGAGGCAAATGGCCGCCTGACCATTCACAGGGCAGGAGGCAAATGGCCGCGTGACTATTCACAGGGCAGGAGGCAAATGGATGCCAGGGGGCAGGAGGCAAATGGCCGCCTGACTATTCATAGGGCAGGAGGCAAATGGCCGCCTGACTCTTCACAAGGCAGGAAGCAAATGCCGCCTAGGGGCAGGAGGCAAATGGCCGTCTGACTCTTCATAGGGCAGGAGGCAAATGGCCGCCTGACTATTCATAGGGCAGGAGGCAAATGGCCGCCTGACTCTTCACAGGGCAGGAAGAAAATGCCGCCTGGGGGCAGGAGGCAAATGGCCGTCTGACTCTTCATAGGGCAGGAGGCAAATGGCCGCCTGACTATTCACAGGGCAGGAGGAAAATGGCCGCCTGGGGGCAGGAGGCAAATGGCCGCCTGACTATTCATAGGGCAGGAGGCAAGTGGCCGCCTGGGGTGTTTGTAATCCAATTATACTCTCAATGTCCTTCTACCCCATTGGGAGGACTTGTATAATTTCGGAAGGTAATCTAGGTTAGAACTTTGGTCGATCACCGGCTGATGTCTTTTGGACATCCGGTTCCCGAAGACTTGGTCGTTCTTTAGATTACCTAGGTCAGGCGGCTATGAGTTGACCAATGAGGTCGTTCAATTTTTGCCGCCTGCATGCGTACGTAAAGCAAACGATAGAGTGCTTTCTACGACGATTGAACCCGGAGGGGTGTCGCCGGACGCCATTGTCCATGTTGGGACAGACGATTTTATGAAAAAAGCAACCATCCGGCCATTGGCCTCTGGTCTAGGTTGAGACCGGCTGTATAGCCACTAAGCGGTTTTGTGCCTAATTTAGTTATCTGGCCACTGGCCGCATGTCACTCGGACGTTGAATTCGCTACTAAGTTTCAAACTTAGTTTATTATTCGGCCATTGGCCTCACGTCACTTGGACGTTTGTTTAGCTACTAAGTTTCAAACTTAGTTTATTATCCGGCCATTGGCCTCACGTCACTTGAACGTTAATTTCGCTACTAAGTTTATAACTTAATTTATTCAATTAATTAATATTCAATAATGTCAATACTAACAATAATAAAAAGTTACCTCGTTAGGGCTTGATGGTACCAGCTCAATAGTTACAAAGCACCTTGACATATACTTGTATTTTGCATGCCACATTTGTTCATAACACGCCTAACTTGGCAGCATGGGGCAACAATTAATAGCATTCCATACTTGACTGCCATGAACTTGAGAGGCGGCTTTCTTAGTGTCGGTGAGGGTGCCGCATAAATTAATTCCTCTTGGTCTTAGATGGAATTTCAATGCCAAAATTTACAAGCTTAAGTCCATATACATTCAGCTAGGCTTAAACCTATATATGCCGCTTGGCATGCTTAAGCTTCTGGCTCTTTAAATGCCTCACGAGCATATGCAATCACAGCCGGAGATATTACAAGCTCTTTGCTGTAGTGTCTTGCGGCTTTTGCTTGAATAGACTAAGCTTACAATAGAACTCTCTTGTTTGTAGCTGCTTTGGGTAATGGGTAGTGTCAGGCGCTTGATCCAAGCAGCCCCTACAGTCGGGCAAACTTTAACAGCCCCTAGCAGCACATACAGCCGGCCTTGGTTAATGAACAAAGCAGCCATGGCAGCCGGCTTTGAGGTTGAACAAAACAGCCATGGCAGCCAGATTTTATTGGTGAACAAAGGAGAACAGCAGCCCCCACAACCAGCTTACTTGATGAGCAACAATGCCACTGCAGGCAGGCTTGAGGATGCACAAGGCAGCCCGACATTGATGTTGTTTGTCCGTCTCAAGAAAACTCCAAGCAAGCTTTTTTTGTTTTTGAGTGAGTTGTATTTATTCTCATCATGTAACAGCAAGTTTGTTGTCAAAGTGTCGTATGTGGCTTGTCAAACTCTTTTCTTCCTCCAAAATGATCATGTAGACAGACGGCCTTTCCCACCTGAATGATCAGGTTGATTATTATTTTTTTTTATTTTTTATTTTTTTATTTTTTTTTTTGAAATCATAATAATGATTTGCAATTTTGCATGGTAGCCCAACTAGGCTTCACGCACAAACGCTGCATAAGGTGTGATACACCCGTTAATTCTTCATGACATTGCAGCCGTTCTTGAGGTTGAATGCAGCAGCCCCTTCAGCCGGGCTTAGTTGAGGCATAAAGAAGCCTCATAGCCGGTTTTTTTGAGGCCGGAAACAACTCCTACATCCGGAATTAGTTGATGAGCCTGGGTGCCCATACAACCGGGGTAAATTATTGAGCATGGATGCCCATACAGCCAGCTTTTGTGATGAGCAAAGCTGCCACTACAGCCGAAGAAGAGACAATGCTTGATGATTTTTTAATCAAAACAGGGGGATGTGTTGATGAACAACGCAGCCCCTGTCATGGAGCTCAAAGAATCAAAGACACAACCGCTCTTAATGAACAACCAAGCAGCCCCTTCGGCTGGTCTTGAGAATGAACAAAGCATCCCACGGCTGGGTATATTTGACGAGCACTTGAGCCTTGGCAACCAGGGTAAATTGGCCAAGAGAGTTGCAACTACAGCCGGATTAAATTTGATGGAGAAAACTGCCCTTTGCTTGATTCATGAGAATGAGCTCTTCAAATGATGACAAGCGAGCATGAGATGTCAAAAAGTTTTTAGCTCGAGAAATAGGTTTGCTCTGATCACACATGCGGCTTTCTATGCCGTCTGACCCTTGCTTAGGTTGGCTGCCGCTTGAAAAATTTTACAATGCTCTTGCTAGCTCACTTCACAGCCGTTTTTGAGGTTGTTCAAAGCAACCCCCATAGCCGGGTTTAATTGGCTACAACCCAGGCGGTATGGAGTGTGCTGCACCCGGGTTAATAACTTGATGATTGTAACCGGCTGACCCTATTGATACTCACAGTAGTTTGGGGCCAAGCACACACCAAACGCTTCTTGCCGCTTGTACAAGGTTTAAATCGAACACTATGTTTGATGATGCTGACCGGCTCCATCCTTGCTAACCACCTCTGCTAGTTAGCTATAATTGCCGAGTCTGACTTGTTAAGGCAAGAAGAAGAAATGGAGTAGCTATATAATAATAACGATGAATAATATAGCAGCCATTGCAACCGGCTTTGAGGTTGAACAAAGCAACCACGGCAACCGGGCATAAATGAGGCAATCAAGAAGCAGACCCTACGGCTGGGTCTGATTGAAGCATAGAGAAACCCTCATGGCTGGGCTTGGGAATGAACAAAGCACCCCTGCAGGCGGGCTTAATTAGGGAGTAAGGCTGCCCTTATAGCCGGGAAAAATTGAAGCGCAATGCAGCCATGGCAGCCGTTTATCATCATGGCTCTTACCGGCTGCCACCATTGCTAGCAATCACTGGCTGACACCATTGGAGCAAAGCTTCCCCATGCCGCCTGCATATGGTTGCCACTTGTATATGCTACCACAAGAAAAAGCCTGGCCGCTTGTGTGTGCTAACACAAGAAAGAAGCTTGGCCGCTTGGTGGTTCTCTTGCTTTGGTTTCATTGAGATTCGGCCACCTCACGCTTGCTAACACACACGAGTTCATACATACAAGCTTATCAAAAAGCATATTGATACTATCAATTATTCTCATGAGCGCCTATATTATTCTCTTGAGTCCACTCAAGAGTAGAATGTGGAGTTTAATAAATTAGACTTTGATAGTTGTCAAAAACTTGAAGTATGGAAATGTATCTCACTTACCGTATGTAAATGCCGCATGATACTGTCAATTATGCAAAACATTTAATTGTAGGCTCATGTTATTTCATTAGCAACAAGCAATTAATTCATTAAATAATTTAATAGACCGCTTGCCGCCTAGCTTCTTATTTATACAATCATAATAACGATTTGATAATAAGGATATATAGCTTGCAAGCTTGGCCGTATCTCTTGTATTACAATTTTGGAAGTGTGGAAATGCATGAGTACACTTGCCGCATGCATATACCCCACTAATTACAAGAGTTTACTCTTGAAAATCAATTGTATAATATTATGTATATAATAATACAATTGATTTGATGTTGATAGTATCAAACTAACAATCAAAGATAGCATTAAGGCCGGCTGTATGATCCGGCTGGGTGGCCATAGCATGCGGCCGCTCATTAAATGAGTCGGATTAAAGTATTGGAGTTGGCCAATTTAGCCGTCTCTCCCCTAATAAAATTAAGATTAAACGACATTGCCCTTTAACCTTCAAATATGCATGACTTAGTCTGGCACTCCTTTTTGGCCGCCTGACTCTCGACATTCAGCCTCATGACGCCTGCTGTACTTGACATCCGGCCTCATGATGCCTGCTGCCTCCCAAAGGTGGCTCCTCTCTTGAGTCCGTGATCCACAACCGTTGTGCCATTACAGATGTGTCTCCCCACAGACGGCGCCAAATGTTTTGGGGTTATTTGTACGTACCCGAATGGAGGGTGTGTACGTCCCTCGGGAGACAGATCTGCAATGCAACACTCGAACGGCCCGATCACCTGCAAAACAACGGACCCTGGGGGGGCCGGAGGTCCGCCTCCGACGATCAAGTCAGTGACCGAAATAATGTATTTTAGAGAGAGAAAGTAGAGAGAAGGGAGAGTAAATGTGGGGGGCATTGCCCTTGGAGAGAGAATTGGATCCCTTAAAGCTGATGTAATGATCAGTATTTATAGAGCATTGGGATATGTGCCTCTTAGGTTATTTAACCTAAGTAGAATGGCTTCCCACCGTTTTACGATTTCTAGGGTTGTGGACTTAGAGCCCATTTTCACCCTTCTATCATTGAGTGACACGTGTCATGCTCTAATTGGCTCATTGAGCGCTGAGCTTGCGGACACGTGTCGAGGTGGCATTGGTCCACATATATAGGGGATATTTTTACCCCCAAAAAGGTGGGACCTTGTCACACTTTTTCTGAAGCTCCTCTAATTGTTTCTTTGCGACTTTAAGAGCTTCACGTAGCAAGCTTGATCCTTCCCACATGGACCATATAAGCACCCGTACATCCTCTTGGCTTGCTGGTTCAGGAAAGTCATCCATGGCATCGAAAAAGAACTCCTCCTCTTCATCGATAGCATGAATTTCTTCAATAGGTTTGATGAGAGATGAGGGATCAACCTCATTTTCTTCATCAGAGATAGCCAAGGAATGAGCGAGAGGTGCATTGTCAATGCTTGGCTACTTACTGGCAGGAGGCAATGGCAGTTTGTTGTTATCAATTAAATCTTGGATAGCTTCCTTAAGCTTCCAACAGTTTTCAGTAAGATGGCCCCTACCTTGGTTATATTTGCAATGTGCATTGGGGTTCTAGTTAGCTGTCTTCTTCTTAACTAGTGGGTCCCCAAATGGTCCAATAGGAGTTATAAGACCTTTTGCATTAAGTCGCTCAAATGCGGTGTCAAAACTCATACCTATAGGAGTAAAGTTCCTCCTAAATGATTTCTTTTGCCCTTGGTTATTCATAGAAAGGATTTCACTCAAATTAAAAGTGCTAACATTGTTTGAGTGGGTGGTTTTGGAAGAAGAAGGATTGTCATTCTTCTGGCCTTTCCAGCCACTGTTGGAGTTACTGTTAGCAGCTTTCAGCTTAGCCAGCTTAGCCAGGTCGTCTTCGACTTCACTCAGATTATTTTGGTACTTGTGATGCTTGTAGTACTTCTCTTGAAGGTTCTTGATGAACAACCTCACAAACTCTTTCTCGCTTGGTACTTCAATCATCTTAGCAGAGGTTTCTCTCCATTTGTTGAAGAAAGAAGTGAAACCTTCATTCTCCTTCTGCTTGAGAATTTCAAGTTCCCTATAGTCAGTTTCAACTTGAATATTTGCAATGAAAGCGTTTACTATTGACTCCCAAGTAGAGGTTCTTTCTTTTTCAAGAGAGAAGAACCATTGTTGGCAAATGGTTTCAAGAGATAGAGAAAACAAAGAGGGAAACACCTTCTTGTCAATAAACTTAATACTCATTATCGTTTCGAAAGCTCTTAGATGAAAGTAAGGGTTGTCAGTCGCTTTGAATTTCGGGATGCCGTTGGCATTGAACTTCTGCGGAAGAAGATCCTTGTCCACCGAGACCCCTTGTGAGCTAATTCCTTGAAACTTGTAGTCACTAGACAACTTGCTTAAACTTTCTTGCATGAGGTCCATCTGTTGTTGCTTCACAAGATCATCGATTTTGAGGGTTAAAACCTTCAACGTCTCAGTCACAGTAATCAATTGGTTCCTGAGCTCATTAACTTCCTCTTGAGTTGCCATTATCTTCTTAGCTTTCCTTTTTCAAGTGATTGGTTTGTCGAAAAGTTGAACTTGAATAAAAAGGTTGTCTTTGATCAAACACCCTTCCTTTCTTGACCACGCGCTGTAAATTAAACCATTTTTGTTTTAATGACTTGACTCAAATTGACTTTGACTTTACGGGTTTGTAAAAAGAAAAAAAGCAAAAATAGGTGCATATATTTTGGCAAAAATAAGGTGTATATTTTTGGGAATTAAGTATAGGGTTCAAACAAGTGGTTTAATTGGAGGATTAATATCTGACTTACCCTCCTAAAAAAATGACGGAAAATACGCCCACATAAGACTATCTTAGATATGGTCAAAGTGTGCATACATATTAGTGTGTGCTTTATATAGTGAGTGCAAGTGACATGCTTTGACTCTTGTGTAATACCATGGGACTTAGTGCCTAGACTCGATTAAGGACTTGACACGGTATTATTATTAATAAAAATTAACCGAATTGATTAGAAAGTTGTTCAATTAGACACAAGGTGATGACTCGAGCAATAAACCGAACTGTCGCCAAAACGACAAAACTGACGCCTTTCTTTGTAGTGTAGCGCCAGACGACAGGACTGTCGCCTGGTGCTACGCTCCACACAGTGGCGCTGCAGTTTAAATCTTGGCGCCATTGCTGAAACGTCGATCTAGAATTGCTTTCGGTATTATTACTCTACAAGGTATGCCTAAAGTCGTACTAAGTCAACTCTGATTAAATTATTAGACTTTAATTACTCATATTAATTAATTAATTAATTAATTAGGAAAAGTTCTTTTTCTCATTAATCAGTTTATTTAGTCTTAACACAAGTCAAACAAACAGTTAGGAAAAACACATAGAGTATGCATAACAAATAATGCACAATTAGTCAAGTAGGCACAACATGATGCAATGAGTTTGCAACTTAACCATGGCTCTAGTTCTCTAAAGTTCGGGATATGGGTTAGTCAAAGAGGGTCCATGGTTAATTGTCCAGATGCACCGCGCGAAAGCCTAACCGTGAAGGGTTGGTGCGAGTGGATGGGACTACGCAAGTTAAAAAACTCGCTTCCATGGTTTGGTGAATTCAACATTCTTGGATGTACCGTTTGTTGCACAAAGCGTTCAATCAGGTACATGGAGCATGAATTCCCAGAGGGTTATGTCCATATGTAGAACATATATGGGTTTCAGAAAAGTGAGAAAAACTCAATCAGGAAGTAGGATCGAGCAAACAGTGCTAAAAATTGGTCAAAATTACAACGCATATTTCTGGCTCGGTATTGGAAGAACTTGGCGCCAGCAAACAGAGGCCGGCGCCACAATTTGGCTTTAGCGCCTGGCGACAGAAGCTGTCGCCTGGAGCCAGAGTCAAATCAGTGGCGCTAAACTCTGTTTTCTAACGTTAGTTCCTACATGCCTCAGCAGCTTTCTGTGCTCGATAAAATTTTCCAGTTTCGCGCAACATTATTTCGATTCTAGTTGTGAAAGATATTCCTCAAATTTCCAACATGTAAAAATCCTATATTTTAACTCATTACGGATGGTCTTTCCAATGAGATATTTTTTATGCATATGACAACAATGTTAATTAAAATTACGCACATGAAATACTTAGAACTTTTCGAGTCTAATCCACTCATTCTAAACTATTGCCGAAATAAATTTCAGGAATTAAAATAGAAATCCTCCCCAATGGAGTCTCCAAAAATAGTAGGGAATATTTCAAGCATTATACCTAGCTTGTACCCCATTGTGATCATGCACTAAAGTACGGTGGCGTCCAAAGGGAAGGAAGATAGAGAAAAAGAGTCGCCAACAAGTTTTAGGAACTTATAAACCGTTCATAGGGTGAAGGTTACACCCCTTAACGATCCAGGAGATCATCAACTCCAATATGTCTTGAACCATGACTGGTAGTTCGGGGATGAAGGTACAAATCCAACCTAAAAGAGATTGAACTTGCCCTAATAATAGGCCTCTACTTTATTCTTCTCGTATTCATGTGCGCTTTCTGACTAACATTCAATCAATAGGATTAACCCTAAACCTGTTTATCTATGTTGGTTGAATATTAATGCACAAATAAATCTAATATTGGCAATCACTTGAATTCTAATCAAATTAACCCTAAACAAGATTATTAAATATCTTATTAAGCGTGATTACAAGTACCAATTCCCTTTAAAAATGCATAAAAGGCGTGATCAAGCAATAACGAATAAATAACAAGCAACATAATAATAAATAAATGATAATCATAAATCACAAAAATAATCATCATCATAATCATGTTAAAGCAAAATTATAGCAAGATCTTAGGCATGATACTAACAAGATTAATAATAAACCCTAGCATGTCACTAAGCAATAAAAATCAAAGCTTTAACCCTAACATGATATTAGGAAGAAAATAGGAAGCATCGCAGGAACAACGATTGTCATATTTGATATTAGAAAATATAGTTATTACCCTAAATATGATACTAGGAAGATCAAAACGCCCTAACATGATACTAGGAATCATAATAACAACCTAGACATGATTTCTATATCATAATAACAATTATCAAATAAAGCACTTACTTGGATGCCTCGTACCTCTTTTTAATAACAAAATACACACGTTAGTAACTTCAAGGAAAATATAATATAAACAATTAAATTAAATAATTGAAATAGAGATTTGGGACCAAACCCTCAAAAATTAAAACCTTTCGCGTCTAGGGCGAAGGCAACTTCGAACTTGGCTAGGTGCTTCAAAGTCTTGTGAATGCGGAATTTTGTATGCAAAAGGGTTGGTTTAGAAAAGAGAGAGAGAATAAGTTTTAGCTTAGAGAGAGAAGAGAATTAGTAAACTAGAGAGTTGATGATTAAAAATGGAGGTTTTAGGAGGCTATTTATAGAGAAAGTCAGCCGGACGGATAGAAAAACAAATCAGAGTTTCGACGAGAATAAAACAGGTTAGCGCCAGACACTGGACATTAGCGTTAGGCGCTAAGGCTAGCGCCAGGCGCCAAGCATTAGCGCCAGGTGCTAATCCCTGTCGTTAGGCGCTAGTAATTATTTTACGCGTTTTCTTAGTTCTGATAAAATTTAGCCGTATAGAAGGACAAAATCGTTTTTTCCTTAAAAACACTCTTTTATTCTGATTAAAACTTTAAAAAGTCAACCAAATTCAATTTATCAATGCTTATTGAATTAGGAATGAAAAGAACCATCTAGAAGAATCTAGAAGACTAAAATCAATTCTAATTGCATTAGGAATGATAAATCAATATTAGGCCCTCCTCTCGATCATTGGGCCGCATGTAAAGATCAAACCGGGCCCAGTTTAGTAATTTGGCCATAACTTCCTCATTATTCATCAAAATTGGGCTTATAATATATCGTTGGAAAGCTCTTTTCAACTACACTATTATTGGACCCTTATCATGGATCAAACCAAACTGGATTGGTTGTTTTCTTAAAATAGGTTTTCAAAAACAGAGAGAAAGAAAAGAAATAAAAAGTATCCGCAACACTAGACCTTCCACACTTTCGCTTTAATCGATAATCAAATGATGTGAAAGGTATTCATCACTGCGTTTTGTTTGTTTTGAAGAGATACAAATGGGTGTCTACAGGGACCAAACCCTCAGAAATATCAAACCTTTCACGTCTAGGGCGAAGGCAACTTCGAACTTCGCTAGGTGTTTCTAAAGCTAATGTATGAGGAATTTTGTGAGAGGGAAGGTTTAGAAAAAGAAAAGAGAGAGAGAAAGCTTCTAGCTTTTAGAGAGAG